GTGGTCGGAAAGGCTCAGCGCTCTAACCCCAAGGGCAGGGCTCAGGTTACTGCACGCCAATAAAACAGTAAGAGAACGGTGTGTGGAGAGGCGCTGAGCGCTCCCACCTCTCTGCCCTCCTTAGTGGCTTTCATCAGCTCCCTTCACGGCAGGAGTGGACCCCGAGGCACCAGAGCTCCAGTGACAGGTCCTACAGCCAAGGAGGAGGAGGCAAGATGTGAACAGGGCTCTGCCATTCCAGCCACACCCGCGGCCTCGGTTTTCTTGTCCGTCCAATGGGAACAGCGGTGCTGCGGGTGCGTTGTGGCCCAGCCGGGGAGGGCGGGCGCAGGCTGGCCAGCCCTGCCCAGCTCTCCCACCAGCTAGCCGCTTCTGTGGGCCTCGGTTTCCTCCGTTCTAAAACGGGGCAGCGATAGTCCTTGTTCATAGGGCCGCTGGAGGATAAGGCACAATTGAGTTCATGAAGCATCACGGGCGCCGAGAAGGCTCCTGGTGAAGCTGCGCCGTCTAACACTTGGGCCCAAGTCCACCCAAGGTGCACCCGGAGTGCCAAACGTGCTGGATTGGGAGCGCAAGCGACTCGTTCATCAGTTTTCATCTTGATTACATGGTAAAAGGATGATATTATTGGTACATCAGCTTAAATAAAATATTAGAATTGATTTCATTATGTGTCAATTTTAAAAGAAACAAAAAAAATTGATTTCACCTGTTCAGTTTTGTTTTTTTAATATGTGGATCTAGGAAATGAGGAAGTGCGCATGTGGTTCACATGGCATTTCCACTGGGCAACGTGGGTGTAAGTAGTGGCCGCTATTATCATTCTGTGACTATGACTTTGCCAAGAATATTGCATTCCTTATACTGAATGCCTTTCAGGTACAGTTTTTTTTTTTTCCTTTACCTTTTCGTTGTTAGTTTTGTTTTTATTCCTGCTTTTTGTTCATTGGGGGAAAAATAACAAAAGAAAAAATTGCCTATAATCCCCAACATCTGGAATTCAGTGCTAAGAACAGCTTGGAGGATTTCCTCCCAGGCTTTTTTGGCACATGTAGACAGATGCCTAATTCTTAGTTTTATGAAATTGTGATTGTATAGTATCCTATCTGGGGCTCCCCATCCCCACCCCAATATTCTACACAAGCATCACCACATCACTAGACTTCAGACACGTGATCTGACGGCTGTGTGGCCTTCTGTGCCTCAGCGCACCTCAGCATGACGACAGGAGGACCCTGTGAGACTTCCCACCATGCCCCAGCCCAGCACTGTCTCTCCTGTGGTCCCCAGCCCCAGATCCTACATGTAAGTGGTAGCCAAGGTCATGGGCTAGGAGCTGGGACTCCAGTTCCAGAGGGCCTTGATCTAGCGGCAAATCTACTCTTCCCTCTGTGTCCTTGGACAAGTCAATGCACCTCTCTGTGCCTAATTCACAATCCCTCCAGGCTAGACGTGTTTGGGCACTCTGATATTAGAAAGGTGGTAAAATGCAGCATATATTTTATAACATACTCCTGATCAAATATGTAACTATTTCTATAGTGAAATGTTTCAATAGTCAAGTGAGGACCAATAAGAGCCTTAAATAAACCAGCTCTGTGGTACACACCTACAATTCAGCTACTCCAGAAGCTGAAGCAGGAGGATCACAAGTTCAAGACCAGTCTGGCAACTTAGTAAGACCCTGTCTCAAAATT